AACATTTAAAAGTGTACTACATATTAATTTATTGTTATTTGTTAATATATTTGAACTGTTTTCAGACATGATCGATTGTAAAGTCTTATCTTCATCATGGAGGAATTCTTGTTGAGTAGATTGGTCACTTTCTGTTAAAATTCTAGAGCCATTATTGTATGGGATATGTTGCAAAAATGTTTCTTCGGTTCTGCTCTCCTTTTGAGAAAACTGTTTGGATCTGTAATGACACTTTATAAAATTTGCTCCAGTGTGCAATTTCATATGTCTGTTTAAGGTTAATTCTCCCTTGAAGTTCTTAAAGCAAATATCACATCTGAAGAATTTCCCTTTGATATGCGTACGTCTATGTACAAGACACTGGAAATTTTTGCTGAACCTTTTATGGCAAATATCGCACTCAAAAGGATTTTCTTGAGCATGCCTAAGTAAATGTTTTCTCAAGCTACTTTTGAGAGTAAATTTCATAGAACATACATTACATGTAAATGACTTTTCACTTGACAAATTTGTTTTTCTTTTTTTGTTTTGAGCAATAATTTGTTTTTCGTCAGTATGTACAGTCATATTTTGAATTAATTGATCATTTTGAACAATCTCTTTTCTTGAACTATTGGTACTTTTATATTGGCGTTGGAGTGATTTGCCTGTTGGGTGTTGTACTATATAACTGTCTATATCACCTTTCTGAACAACTGAAGGAGGAAAACCTAAAACATAATTATTATTTAATTAGCATATGGGTACATGGACAACATAATTATAGATTATTATAAAACATAACACATTATATATATATATATATATATATATATATATATATATATATATATATATATATATATATATATATGTTACTGTCCTGCTTATATTATGTATGTGCAATATAAGCAGGACAGATAATGCTATTAACAACAAAACAGACGCTAACGGACTTAGTTCTATTTATTGTAACATCTTAAAATCTGTTTAATTTATAAAATATATTAGTTTCTGCACGCCACTGATTAAATTGTAGGACAATTAAACAAAATCAGTTATTACAATATTTTAGTTGAATTTTAGTTTGTCACTCATGAAGATGTGTTTGTGTTTTAATATTTTTAGTCTGTCACTCAAGATGTTGTGTTTGTGCCACGCTGTTTGAACGATTACATCTGTAAGTTCTTTTATGTTATGTTATTTTTTTTTTATTCTATCAATAAATAATTTTTTAGTGCGCTCTTGAAAAAGCCATAAACCAAATGGCGAAATATTGAGTTTACGAGAAAAAAATCGTTTTATTTTCTGACCAAAAAGCCTGATAATATACATTTATATTTGTTTTTATGTATATACAGTGTAGGTAAAAGTTTATGGTTGGTATGGACCTTACATAAGATGGAGTGAGACACACCTGTTTAAAAACAGAGAGGTATATTAGGGCTTTCCTTTATATCGCCGAAATGCATTAGTGGAAATAATAAAAAAGGGGAAGTTCAACGTTGCCAAAGTTGTTCTTTTTATTTGACCTGTTGTCTTTTTAGCATTTGAACAATGTTCTAAAATAATTAAATTTGGGCGAATTGATTTAAATGGCAGCTTACTGTTTTTTATTGGGAATATGCCACAATTTTACTTTAAAATAAGTGTAATTTAACATTTTGATTTACACTTCGGAAATCGTTTTATATAAAAAAAATTTATTAATGTTTCGTATTTTAAGTACGATTTCCGAATTAAAAATCCAAACATCAAAATAAGCTTATTTTAAAGTCACGTTGTGCCTTATTCCTAATAAAAATAATAAACTGCATTATGACGCCATAATAAAAAAGCTTCATACAAAATTATTTGGCCACGTCGCGTCTCGCGTCGTCAAACTAAGGACAGCGCTAACGAGTAGAGGTGGGTCGTTGACTTTTTTATCATTTACGCAACTGAATCGTTTTTCGTAAACAAGTAAGTAGTTGATTGTTTAACAGTAGTTTCAAGTAAGAGAGTACATAAATAAACATAATGGCTATTATCGTTTATGTGTATATTTATTGAACTAATGAAGGATATATTTATTATATCTTGAAAAATATACTAAACAATACAAAATAGTAAATAGTACTTACATTTACATTACACGTTATTATTAAATCGCGAATCGTCTAAATTGATATTTAAAAACATAAGTTTTTCTACTTTACTTCTTGTTAACCGTATTTTCTTTTATTTATAATTAAACCAGATTTTGAACATGTGTTCATATTTACAATATTTTATGAATATAGTGGTTCAAGTTACTGTCCAGAAGTCAGTAGTAATAAAGATATTTTCTGATCTAATAATTTGCTCAGTTTTGATATAACATTCCTGAAGTAATGAACCTGACAAAGTTTTCTTGTTTTCGGTTTATATCCAGGAATCTACCCTGCAACTTTTTAAAAACTCGTTCTTCAACTATGGAAAACGGATGAAACGAGTCTTTGCATAGGTTTAGTAAATCCATATCTATTTGTTTCTTTTGTTCTAAACTAATAGTTTTATTAATGGAAGTATCCATCACCTTTTGACGCTTTAGTAGCGGTGGCAGTATGTCAGTATTTGTAGTAGAAGTCGTTGAAAAAGACATAAATGCGTCGGGAGAAGTTTCAATCATTACAATATTCAGAAAGTGGAGCATAAAAGCTGCCTCTTCTATAAATGTGCATTTTTTGAAAATAAAATTATTATTCTTATACTAGGTCAATAATTTTGACTATTAAAAAGAATTCTTAATTGAATATTTACAATAAATAAATCCTTTGACGAACTATCAATAAAGATTTGAAATCGAAAATGCAGATCAATCGAAAATCGAAACTCATTCATTAATCAGAATACCTAGTTATTTTATTTTCAACGTCAACTGATAGCTCGATTGTCCAATGTCCCGAAAGAGATGTTATTTTTAGTATTTTAGTAGTCTCTCAGATCAACTAATCGTCCTCGTCGACGTAAAGTGTTCGCTGCTCCTCTATTTACGTCTACACAAAACGTAGTTTTTTTGAATCAACCACCAACTAGTTGGCTTACCAGTGAGAAACCGTAAATTCGTAAATGACAAATAACGATTTAAAATGCAGGGATTTTCTGATAAAAATGAATGTAAAGAAACAAAAGAAAGAGTTAAGAAGCTGGTTACTTCTATAATTAAAGAAAAAGTTTAATAATTAGTTTCTTTCACTTCAATACATATACACATAAACGATAATAGCCAATATGTTTGTTTATGTACTCGCTTATTTGAAACTACTGTTAAACAATCAACTAGTTACTTATTTACGAAATAACGATAAAAATCTCAACAACCCACCTCTAGTTTCTTAGGTATAAGCTGGATCGGAACCAGGGATATGTAAAATATCTCTGATCGGAACCAATCGTCTCACTAATGGGCATCTATGAGAAATGTGGAGGGAAGGGAAATATGCTTTAATGCACTACATCGCATTGTGCCCAAGACTGCGATGTAGTGCATTAAAGCCCTTCCCCCTTTTTAAATTCAATGTTTGTTTCGTCCCTTCTAAGTGTTTTCTGTTTTAGTGTGTTTAAATTATCCTTAATTGTTTGTATTTTAATATTTTATTTACTTGACTTTCCAATAATTAACTCATTGCCAATAGAACTTTATCAAAGTAATTTGATAACTACAAGTTGGAAAATAATTGCACACCCACACAATTTTTACATCTAAACTTATTTATTGTCATAAAACTGCCACCTTCATAAAACAATTACTCAATAAATAACACACATTTCAAAAAGATATCTCTCGAATAAGTATAAATAGCTTTTAATAACACAATGGTATATTACATCACTTACATTTAACAAACAATCTCACACATATCTCTTCTTCATTGGATTAAATCTATCTCCTCAAGAACTTCCCGTTTACTGTCAAACAACTGCAATAATAGAATTGAGTTCTCCATTCAACAATATAAAGTAGTTTCAACCATGTTCTACCATCCATCTTTAATAGAGTACCGGCATCATTTGTTTAACTTTGTATCGAGACCTGAGGATGCTTTGCATATTGTAGAAAGCGAAACCGGTCGTCTGATAGTTAAATTAAATTGATTGTGAGTAAGTCTTATTTATTATTTCTTTACCTATTTAAAACATAAATATTTTTTCAACATGCATAAATTTGAGACATATAATTTGTGCTATTTCTATGATTATTGAAATTTGGCTATACCAAATAACTATTTTGTAGTTCGTGAATACTCTATAGTAAGCAGCTAGATATTTATTTATTTATTAGTACACAAATTTAATTCTCAATTATCATCTTTGCCGGTTACATCTGCTATAAGTCCGAACTAAATAAAGTATACTCGCCTTGTTGCGAAATTTATTATTTAGTACCGCGTGCAGCTTATCAGTGTCGTTGAGGTATACCTGAAAGTTAAGAGAGGGACAGGCAGACATTGTTATCCTTTTCGAAAGTAATATTCTTATTGCAATACGGCAACATTGTTAAAACTCACCGGCAAATATTGGAAATAAATATTAAAATCAGGTAGTCAGAAGTATTGCATGAGCGCACAGTCGGGTAACATGACATCAATACCAACGTGCAGTACATATGCTAATAAACCGGATAAAAGGAGGTGGTTATCTGGGAAAGAAATACAAATGATTAAATCGGTTTATGAGTGATTACGTAGAAGAAGATATGTATTAAAAAATACCCACTTCTGCATCTCGAAAGGCAGACATAGAGTGAGAAACACCTGTTTAAAAAGAGAGAAGTATATTAGGGCTTTCCTTTATATCGCCGAAATGCATTAGTGGAAATAATAAAAAAGGGGAAGTTCAACGTTGCCAAACTTATTCTTTTTATTTGACCTGTTGTCTTTTTATTATTTGAACAATGTTCTAAGATCTGTCTTTCAATTTATAAGGGATGATATTACTAAAAAAGCCTACAACAGAAAACGACATCAGATTTCTGCAGAAGAAAAATCAAGGATAACTTTGAGATAAGTTTTCTTTATTTAGAGAAAATATAAAAATACACGTGTTTAAGAACAAAAATAAAACTGCTTAAAAATGTAAAGTAAATAATTATTAATCTAATCTTACATTTCTAAATTGCTATTACATGGTTTTGGCGAAAATACATACGAATGCACGCTTTGAAGTCGTATATTGGTTTCCAAACAACGTTCGTCAAAAGCATTTGTTATACAAAGTGCAAATTCATATAATACAGGTGTAGAGACGTGTGGATAATTATTGGGGATAAGTATCTCTCTGTACTTTGCAATACGATCGGCTATGATATTCTGTTGCAGTCACTTTAATTTCATATCGCGAAACAATGTTCATAACTTTTATTTATATTGTTTTTAATAATGTTATCTTTGAAACTTATACTTATCACGTGATATATTGGAGGATGCTCTCTTACTAGATCCACTAGTCTTTCATTTTCCTCAGGAGAAAAGTTAGTCGACACCACTTAATTATTACAATAGTGATAACTATATAAAAATACAATTATAATTTTGGTATAGATGTGTATGCTATTAATTCCAGTCAACACCATCGACGTAACTGCCATCGCTCTGCAGAGCGCTCAACTAAGCAGAACCTAACAAACCGTTATCATAGAGAACCTTTCCTTTGATTTTGACGAACGTGACGAATCTGCAAAATCGTTATGAGGTTTGTTTACCTTGGATTTGTGTACATTTTGAACATTTCAATTATGTAAACTAAAAAATAAATACAATGTTCACTTAATACAATGTTTGGTAAACTTTTTGGCGCAATTAAAATATTACTAAAGTTTTCATACCATATGATGTGTACGTCTGTGTTCAACATATATGTCATTGTCACTGAATCGTTTATGACAAATATTACATTCAAAAGGCTGACTTAGTTTTTCTCCAGTGTCTTACTACGTGCCTCTGAAGTTTTGTGTTACATGTAAACTGTTCGGGACAATAATCACACTTTATAAGGTTTTCGCCGGTGTGTAATCTCATATGTTTCCTGAAGGGATTCTTTGACCTAAATTCCTTTTGGCACAATTCACATTTATAGGGTTTTTCTCCAGAATGTATGCGCTCATGGTCTGTTAGTGTGTCTTTTGTAGAAAATCTCTTTAAACATATAATGCATTCAAAGTGTTTTATTCCAAAGTGCGTGAGTCTATGACGTTTTAAATGTAATTGCATTGAGAACTGTTTAAAACAAATATCACACTGAAATGGTTTTTCTCCAGTGTGTTTTACTACGTGTATCTGAAATAGACTGTTACATGTAAACTGTTTGGGACAATAATTACATTTTATAATGTTTTCGCCGGTGTGTAATCTCATATGTTTCCTAAAGGGATACTTTGACCTAAATTCCTTTTGGCACAATTCACATTTATAGGGTTTTTCTCCAGAATGTATGCGCTGATGATCTGTTAGGTTGTTTTTTGTAGAAAATCTCTTGCCACATATAATGCATTTAAAGTGTTTTATTCCAAAGTGCGTGAGTCTATGACGTTTTAAATATCCTTGCATTGAGAACTGTTTAAAACAAATAACACACTGAAATGGTTTTTCTCCAGTGTGTGTTACTACGTGCCTCTGAAATTTACTGTTACATGTAAACTGTTTAGGACAATAATTACATTTTATAATGTTTTCGCCGGTGTGCAATCTCATATGTTTGTTGAAGGGCGCCTTTGATCTAAATTCCTTTTGACACAGTTCACATTTATAGGGTTTTTCTCCAGAATGTATGCGCTCATGGTCTGTTAGTGTGTCTTTTGTAGAAAATGTCTTTAAACATGTAATGCATTTAAAGCGCATAGTACGGTCAGTGTGGGTATGCAGATGTTTGCTCAGGGTTGATTTGGTTGCAAACTTCTTGAAACAAACACCACACTCAAATGGTCTTTCTCCAGTGTGGCTTACTACGTGACTCTGAAGTTGTGTGTTATCCGTAAACTGTTTGGGACAATAATCACATTTTATAAGGTTTACGCCGGTGTGTAATCTAATATGTTTCTTGAAGGGATACTTTGACCTAAATTCCTTTTGGCACAATTCGCATTTATAGGGTTTTTCTCCAGAATGTATGCGCTCATGATCTGTTAGGTTGTTTTTTGTAGAAAATCTCTTTAAACATATAAGGCATTTAAAGTGTTTTATTCCTGAATGCGTGAGTGTATGACGGTTTAAATTGCAGTGTAATGAGAACTGTTTGAAACAAATTTTGCATTGGAATGATTTTACTTTTGAAATATTAGAACAATGATCTAATATAACATGTTGCAAAGATTTTTCTTCTGCATTTAAAGGCGCATTTTCCATTGACTGATCGATTTCTATGGGCATGTTAGAATAACTATCAAGTGCGTTATTTTCTAAAGGTTTCTCTGATATATGTGTACGTCTATGAACAATACAATGATAATTGTGAAAAAACTGTTTACAACAAATATCACACTCGAAGGGTTTTTCTCCAGTGTGCCTAAGTAAATGATTTATTATGCTATCTTTAAGCGGGAATTTTATAAAACATATATTACATCTTAATGGTTGTTCTCCAGTCCGTTTTTGTATGCGTTTCTTAAATCTAGCTAAATCTGCATGCCTACATAAATGACGTTTTAGACTGGTTATTAATAAGAACTGCTTATAGCAAATTCTGCATTGAAAAGGTTTATCTTTTAATGTACCATGTGCAAATGCATATTGTATAGGTTGTTCTATAAGATGATTATCAAATTTGGTTTGTTTCACAGTGTTTTCTTCAACATTTGAAAGTGTACTACATGTTAATTTATTGTTATCTGTTGATATATCTGAACTGTTTTCAGACATGATAGATTGTAAAGTCTTATCTTCATCATGGAGGAATTCTTGTTGAGTAGATTGGTCACTTTCTGTTAAAATTCTAGAGCCATTATTGTATGGGATATGTTGCAAAAATGTTTCTTCGGTTCTGCTCTCCTTTTGAGAAAACTGTTTGGATCTGTAATGACACTTTATAAAATTTGCTCCAGTGTGCAATTTCATATGTCTGTTTAAGGTTAATTCTCCCTTGAAGTTCTTAAAGCAAATATCACATCTGAAGAATTTCCCTTTGATATGCGTACGTCTATGTACAAGACACTGGAAATTTTTGCTGAACCTTTTATGGCAAATATCGCACTCAAAAGGATTTTCTTGAGCATGCCTAAGTAAATGTTTTCTCAAGCTACTTTTGAGAGTAAATTTCATAGAACATACATTACATGTAAATGACTTTTCACTGGACAAATTTGTTTTTCTTTTTTTGTTTTGAGCAATAATTTGTTTTTCGTCAGTATGTACAGTCATATTTTGAATTAATTGATCATTTTGAACAATCTCTTTTCTTGAACTATTGGTACTTTTATATTGGCGCTGGAGTGATTTTCCTGTTGGGTGTTGTACTATATAACTGTCTATATCACCTTTCTGAACAACTGAAGGAGGAAAACCTAAAACATAATTAATTATTATTTAATTAGCATATAGGGTACATGGACAACATAATTATAGATTATAAAGCATTAAAAAGCAAATATATATATATATATATATATATATATATATATATATATATATATATATATATATATATATATAGAAATGTTGGGAGCACTTAAACTTGTCTTTTAAAAAAGGTTTTATTTGAGAAATCACAAATTTACAAACTATGGAACTTTTGTTGTACAATGAAATTACAAATTAAAAAGAACGTTACAAAATGTTTGTTGCACCTATTTATTGGTTCGGTTATGCTGTGTCGGCTTCCGGGTCATCGGTTTACTTGTGTTGCTGAGGATTATATTTCTCCTTCCTCCTCTGGAATTGACTTCGTCCTCGAAGTCTGGGAAACTTCTGCGATTAGCTGATCTAGAATTTGAATTTGGGCTGGCTGCAGTTTGGGCCAAAAAGTAATCTGGAAATTCTTTTTTTCTTTTTTATTAGAAAAATAAAAATAAATAGTAATAAGAAAACTATTAAAATTAAACTGGTGGTGCCAAGTCCCGTTGAAATTTTTGGAAAAGGGTCCAATGTTTCTATTGGCTGAAGCTGGCCATGGGTCTCTGGAATTTTGAGTTTTTCAATTTGAATTTTATGCTCTGGTATCAATTTTATGGGAACAACTTCTGGGATGGAGATTTCTTGTGTAGTCTTTTTATTATATTTGGTTCCTTCTATGATAATTGGTTCGTCCGTCATTAGAATACTACTGGCTATGACTTTTTCTTCTTGAATCTTTATTGGATTGACTACTCCTAATAATATTACTTTATTGATTTCTTGGAAGAAGTTTTCTGTGACAACGACTTTAGTGCAATTTTGAACATTGGGTATGGAACATCTCGATTTGATCAATTTCGTACAAACTATGTATTCAGCATGTCCCTTACAGTCTTCGTACCATTTATTGTTAGCATAGAAATGTGTGGGTGGCAATATCATAATGTGATCTGAATTAGGGATAGGATAAATTCTATAGGTAAGGTATAGGTTAATGTCAAGGATAGGGATTTTTATTATTATGAGCATTGTTTGAGAAGTGACACAAACAAGGGCTTTAGATGCTTCTATAAGTTCATAAGGATGATTATCATCAATAAGAAGGGCATTTCTTGAATAAATTTGAAGAAGATTTTCTTTTAAACTTTCGAGTTCGTTTAATGTGAATAATTCAATATTTGGGATATCTAAATGGGATAAAGTGATTGTTCTGATAAGTTTCATTAAGAATTCGTTAATATTTTGAAGGTTTATTATTTCATTATGTAGAGCAACATAGCCGTCAAAATCGGCAGATAATTTATTAACTGCGGATAGAAGTACAAAACTATTATTATTAATTTTGTTTATAAGTTTTTCGAATCTCGTATCAATTGACTGTCCAAATGAGATTTGATTGTTAAATTTTTTTATGATTTCATTTTCTTTAAGTTCAATAGCTGTAATGTGTGTTCTTAACATATCTAGATCTGAATTATCGGGATTACCCGCTACATATTTAATAGCTGTACCAAGAAAATTAAAAAGTCCTTTTTTCTGTTTTCTAGTTATTTTGTGTAAATTGTCTTTAGCTAGGTCATGTAAGTGATTATACTGGGAATACAATGAGGACAGAGGTCCATTTTTAATAGGGGTTTTAAAATAGTAAATAGGATCTCGTTCTAAGGTTTCTTCTAATTTTTGTAGATTTATGTGCAAGATATGTCTGTGATAATGTGAGGTTTCTCTGGATTTTCCAACTTCTTCGGCAAAATAACCATTATTCGGAATTTGTTGGATCTTGAGAAGATGTCCCAGGGATAGGATCGTCCTGTAAAGAAGTTTTGTCTATAAGTTTTCGGGCTCTTTTTGCAAATTTTAGGTGAGTGCTTGTTTCGTTTTGTTTGTCAGTTTTACCGATTACTTTTGTCTTATTTTGTTTATCTGGACGTAAGGTAGAATAGGGATTTTGTAATTTAGGTTTATGTTTTTTCTTAGTTACATAAAGGGGTTGTGCAAGATTTATTTCGGGTATCTCTACGGCAGTCTCGTTTGCTTTATCAAGTATGTTTTGTCTTTTTTCTTTTTGTTTTTCGTATAAGTGTTCTATAAAAGGTTGAAGTTCATCTTTGTGTCTTTGGTTATAGGTTTCATATACCGGAAGGTCAAAATCAAAGTGTATTTCTTCGGCATAAGGTCCGTAGAGAATAGAAAAAGGGGAATAATTAGTGGCACTATGGATTGATCGATTATAAATTAACACGGCGTGGGTGAAGATATCATCTAATGGATCGTTTGGATTTTGGTCTTTTAAAGTTCTAAGCTTTTCGATAAGGGTAGAATGAAATCGTTCTACAGGGGAGTTCGAAGATGAATTATTTACTGTAGTAAAATGTAGTTCAATTTTGTGAAGGTTCATGAACTCTTTAATAACGGCGGAATTAAATTCTGTACCACTGTCGCATACTATTTTTTTGGGATAGTTGTGGTGTGAGAAGTAGTGTCTGAGTTTACTTAGGATTGACAAAGAAGTTTTGTCGGGTATTTTGTAACACTGTCCATACTTGGAGAATGAATCAATAACTGTCAAATAGAGATTTTTGTTGCAATGGAATAAATCTATGTGTATGATATCAAAGGTTTTTGTCCAAGTAAAGGTCCTAACTGTGGAAGTTTGTAGGGACGTCTTTCGTATTTGTTTTTTAAACAAATTTCACATTGATTAATATAGTTAGAAATAATAGTTTGCATATAAGGCCAGTAAAATTTATTTTTTAAATGTTTGTAGGTTTCTACGATACCGTTATGATTCTCGTATGGTATTTCTTTACGCATTCGATTTGTCTTTCTTCTTCTTCAATGTCTTGCAGTATTTATTGCAGAAAAAGGTTTTAACGGTTGAGTCTATATTTTCTCTAAAGTAGTTGCAAATGAAAGGTCTAAATTCGTGAGAAACTTTTATGGCAAATTTTTGATTGGGTCTTAAGATATTTTTAAAAGATTCTGGTATTTCTTTCTTCCAATCTTCTGTGACATTTACATTGTATCTATGTTTGTTAAATATTTTTCTATAAACTAAATCGAATTTTTCGGAGTGATCGTTAATTATAATTTGATTTGTCGACATATTAATTGGTTCTTCCAAAATTTGTATTCCAGTAATGGGATTTTCAACTGCAGTGTGTTGAGTATCATCATAATTTTGCAGTCGGTCATATTGTTCTAGAAATTCGTCTGGGTCGAACTGTTCATCAATATCTGAAGGTTCAGCACCGTTTGAACTGGTACTTAGAGCATTAATTTGTACTCTAGAAAGGGCGTCAGCAACTTGATTTTCCTTTCCTTTCTTATATTTTACATCAAAATTATATTCATCAAGTTTAAGTCTCCAACGTGCTAGTCTAGACGTAGGATCTTTAATTTTATAGATCCAGACAAGGGGATTATGGTCCGTTTCGACCAAGAACCTTTGGCCATATAAATAAGGACGAAAATGTTTGCTAGAATCTATGATGGCTAAGAGTTCCTTTTCAATTGTGGAGTAAGCTTGTTCAGCTGAATTTAGAGTTCGCGAATAATATGCGATTGGATGATTGTTTGAGAAAGCACAGAACCAATAGCTACATTGGAAGCATCAGTAGTGAGAACAAAAGGTTTTGAAAAATCTGGATATTGGAGTACAGGGGCATTGGTTATTAATTGTTTGCATTTTTCAAATGATTCTAGATAATTAGGATTTTTAGGATCGACTACGGCTCCTTTGCGAGTACATCTGGAAAGAGGGGATGTAATTTTAGCAAAATTGGGTATAAATCGACGATAATATCCTATAAGACCTAAGAAGGATTTGATTTCTTTCACTGATTTTGGCAATGGAAATTTTTGGATAGCTTCTATTTTGCTAGGATTTGGTTTAATACCATCAGCGGTTACTAAGTGACCAAGAAAAGCAACTTCTTTTGTAAGGAATTCTGATTTATCCAATTGTACTTTCAGATTATTTTTTCGGAATGTATCGAATATTGTAGCAATATGAACAAGATGTTCATGTAAAGACTTGGAAAATATAATGTGAAGTTTATATAGTTCTAATTTATAGTTCTTTATTCTAATTTATTGTCTATATTCTAATTATTAATAAAAACTCACGATCACTAATTACGAATTTATTAAAGTCTTTATTAATCCTAATTACAAATAATTTATTAACGTTTCGTTACATCTAAATATCGCGGTTCGCGAGCTTCTTATAACTGACTTCTTCAATAACATTTCGTCTTTATATAAAGCACAGTAAGACCGCCTAGACCTGACCTGACTCTTGTAGAAAATACTGGAATGTGACGTCATATTGGTATTATAGCCGAGGGGAGACCCCATGGATGTTGACCCGCATTGCCTCGAATAAACTGGAACTGGTTTGTTTTTATAGCGGCTCGGCTGATTTTCGTCAGGTAGTTATACCTAGAACATTCATGAATGAATAAAAAACATATTAGTAAAATATATTTACGATTTTGGGTCAGAATTTATCGTAACATTGCCCCCCTCTTAAAAGATGGTTCCTCCTGGAACCTTGTCGGGACTGGAACTGGAGCGGCATGCTGATATCGGCAACTGGACCCTCTTTTACAACTTCCAGTTGTATAGAAATGACAAGGGACGGTTTTCTCTCCGCACCAGTAACTATGCGGATTGCAACAGACTAACACCTGGACTTCGGTGTCTTTAAAGATTTCCTCCAACCATGTTTCGTATAACCCTCCAATCTAATTGGTGGCACTCTAACTTTGGCATGGCTAACTTTTGCACGTCGGACTCTAGTACGTGCTCTCTCAACTGAAGTAAGGCTTCCCATACATCTCGGTAGGTAGGTTGGTCACGGGCAGTGTCTTTTGTTACCAGGTAGAAAAGGTAACGTGATGCATCTTGAAGTTTCAAGGTTTTACCAGGAGCTGGCACTTGGCATTGA